GCAGTTTTTAAAGACGATGCTTTTCCTATATTTTGTTAGACTTTTCATAAGTAAAAATATTTTTTGAATATTACTTTCTTCATATGAATTATATCACATTTTTTGTTTAATTCAAGGCCCATCAAACAGGTTTAGAGCATTTGAGCAAAAACAACATTTGCCTGTATTTTGTTGTTGCTTCTGGTATCGAAGGTGCCAAAAACTGTTCTGATTTTTTTCTTCTACATCAAAGCATGCCATGCGAAATACAAAAAAGGTAAAAAATTTTAGTTGAAAAAATTAAAATTGTTGCAGCTTTCTTTCTTAGTAAATTGGTTCGCTTCTCGAAGCATTGATCCACCATCCTGTGCCAGGCCCAGTAATCAGCGGCTGTGCTGCTGAGTTGGGCGAGCTTTCCAAAAGCTGATATTTAATCGCTGGTTTTGTGTGGAAAATGTTTCACATGCAAATAGATTTTAGCAATTTAGAATTTTTTTGAGAAGAAATGTAAAATATTTGACATTTTCGAGAACAAATAATTTGAAAAAAATCAAATCAGCTGCTATACTGATATTACCTGTTCAATGTGCCTTGGTTTAATTGTATTTTTGGAATAAACAAAGTTCTTATTCCTTCTGTCAGTAAACTGTGTTTTTTTTTTTAAATAGTATAAATAAGCAATGGGAAATAAGGCAAAATTTGTTTTATTTCCAACCTTCGTTGGAAATAAAGCAAAACTCAGATTTTGGTATTATTTCCCATTTAAAAGTGAAATAAAGCAAATTTTGCGTTATTGCCGTTTGTGTTATTTCCGGTAAGGTCCGGACTAAATCCTGTAACTTCTGACTAGGAGCAGTTCAGTTATACTCTCAAAAGTATTCCCACTTGCAGGTTTTATGTCATGTAATTTCTGTCTAAATCCTGTAAACCGGAATGCTATTGGAACAGACTAAGTAAATTCTTGACTAAAAATACAGAAACAAGATCTATTTAAAAAATGTTCACCAATTTTTTAATAAAATTTGCCGAATTTCATTTTTAATTCCATTGTAGATTAAAATTTTAGCATGCAGAAGCTTAGTATTTTTTTCACAAAGTTGAAAGCAAAATTGAAACTCAATTGAAAGGGAAAAATTTAAAACAAACTGCCCATTCAAGTAATAAATAAGAGTAGGCTTGTAAGTAACCAATAGTCAGTACTAATTTATACTGGAACCTGCAAATTTTTACTGGAAAAGTGTATGATAACCCAAAAATATTGCAAAAGAGAGTACTGAATCGAGAGCGTAATAACACGGGAGAGCTACAAATTCTTGCTAGTGAAATTTTTACTAGCAGAAGAAGAACGGAAGAAGAACAAGAATCAATGTCAAAAGCCGCCATTTGGTAAATTGGTTGAACGTAAACCGAAGCAAAATTTTTAAAGCTAAAACAAATTAGTTAAAAGTTAAATGAGTGGAAATCAAAATATCAATAAAGTTCTGGACTGTGTAAGTTCTTGTGCGTAAAGAAAACTGAATATAAAAACTTATATGAATTTATGTGCGTAGGTACATATGTACATAAGTAAAGAAAGCTCATTTACGTTTGATCCATCACCACTGCAACCGCTTTCAAACAATTCATAGGATTCAATACTCTGTCAGATGCAATAAGCAAAGGAAATTTTTAATAATATGAGGTTATGTATGTATGTAGGTACAAATAAAATCCACTTACTTTTGTCCCATCACCACTGCAACGGCTTGCAAGCAATCACAGTGTACCAGTAGAAAAGGTTTTTGTTTTTGTAGCTGTTTCGTGGTGAAAGTCCTTTATGGGGACCAAATTTCACCACAAGAAATTGAGCGCTTGGTTGTTTTTGCATACCAAAAGAACGAATATTAGAATACATTGAAAAAAAGTCTGCGATAATACAATAATATTCTACTAAAAATAAACACAATAGTGTGCGCTAATTAGATAATGTGATAATCATGTTTAAATACTCTTTTCAACTCTTATTTTTCACATAATAATATTGCGTATCAGATTGCTCTGAGCGCTTGTGTTGTTTACCAAGAAAATGCAGCCGTGTTGGTTTTTATTTTTGTATCGCTTCGCGGCGAGTTTCTATTTCTTGGTAATTCGGTTTGTGAAATCGGAAAAATTATTGAAATTTATTGATTTGATGTGTTTAACAGTTGATTAGTGCAATTTTCTTTCTTTTCAGACCATAAAATACAAGCGTAACATCATCAACGGTGATTGCAAGGAAAACTATTGCAATCCCTGCGGTTTTTCCTCTTGTTAAATACGTTATGGGCGTGACCAAGGGTGGTCTTCCAAATCAGCCGGAATCCCCACACGTCCGTTGTATAATGTGAGCATTAGAATTCTATAGTGCCAATTCATATCCTATTTTCTCATTCACAGACGACAAGATGCACTCCTTCGAAATTTCTCGCTGCTGCTGCGGCAATAAGTGTGGCTGCAATATATTGGCCATTAGCTCCAGCTACATGTATAGCATGTTAAACATTTTTATTTGTATTTGTAGGAGCATCTGACAGCCTACTTGCGTACATAAATAGAAAATACAAAACATGACGAGGGACTTGAAATTGAAGATGATCAAGAGTACACAACATTGGAAACTGAGAACATGAAGCTAAAGCATCGATTATCAATTCTGATTAAGGTTAGTCATTTTCAATTTTATATCTTTCTTCGTCGACATTATAGGACATGTCATCATTGCAGACTATTGTTGCAGAACAAAACGCCGCAACCACTACTATTTTTGGTAAAAATGTACCAGCGGTAATGCCCACCGCCGTCGGTGCAATGATTTTGATAGCACAACAAACGTCATCCCCTGGGCATTTCCAAAGCTTGCCGACACAAGCTATTATATCACATGTGAATGCAACTGCGGCTAAATTTGGTTATTATCAGCGCAATAGTGTCACGTCATTGGCCAAAACACTAAAGGCTGCTGGCACAAATAAATCGCCCAGAGATATAGCCAACGAAATAAATAAACATGGTGTTCAATCGCTACTTGTGGTTTAAACTGAGGTTGCAAGTCCTCGCTCCATTAATGTGTTTCTCAAAAGGTATACAGTTTATGGTTATGTTAGTGCAAATATTTACAAAAAATTTTATATCAAATGTAGGGATTATGCCTTTCGTGTAATTTCCAACTT